CTCTATCAGACATCGCTAAATTTGAGAAAAATAACTCGACTGTCTCTGTGAATGTGTATGGGTTGGATAAAAAGTTCCAGCCACCGCGTAAATATCCRACGTACGAGGTGTACCCGCTACGTGTCGTCGATGATGAGAAAGCCAACCACTTTGATCTGTTGTTGGTGTGACGGACGTCGCCAACTCTCACTACGTGTATATTTCGAATTTTTCCAGGCTGGTCCGCGCTCAGAAAACCAGACACACTGAGAGTGTCGTGTTCTGTAAGAGATGTTTTATGAGTTTCGACGACAGACGTCATAAATTCAAGTTGAGTGGGCAGGAGGCCCTGGACCAATACAAATTGATTTGCGGAGCGCACAAACCAATTTTACCAGAGATGCCTAAGGAGGGTGATTGTGTTGAGTTCAAGGCGTGGAAAAACACGGTTAGGCATCCGTTTGTCATTTACGCGGATTTTGAGGCGATCTTGGCGAAGACGGAGGAGGCAARAGGGGATAGTACCACGATTACCCAGAAACACGAAGGTATTTGGTGAAAGCGAGCGAAGACGTACCGGCAGAGTTATTGCTTCAACACGAGATACCGACGGGGCCGGTAATCTACAGAGGCAGAGAAGACAGGACGGACGTAGCGAGACATTTTGTGGAGACGATAGTTGAGGTGGCCCTGAAAATTGAAAATCTCATGAAGACKAATATCCCGATAAAAATGACTGAGGGTGAAGAAAAAACACATCAAGAGTGTATGAAGTGTAATTTATGCAAATGTATATTAGTCGGGGACGATAAGGTTAGGGATCATGATCATTTGACAGGCAAATTTAGGCAGACCTTGTGCTCTAGGTGTAACTTAAAGTTGCAACAGCCTAAATTTGTACCTGTCTTTTTTCATAATCTCACAAACTACGACTCTCACTTYATAATCACCGAACTTGGGTATGATACTAAGACGATCAACGTTATACCTAACAGTGATGAGAAATATATATCTTTCTCGAAATATATAAGTAGTACCTTCACTGTTCGGTTTATCGACACGTTCCGGTTTATGGCGTCGAGTCTGTCGTCACTGGCTGAAAATTTGCTTACACCCGAACATGAGAACTTCCGTGAGACAGCCAAACATTTTGTCGCCGGAGATATGCCGCTCGTGACTCGTAAGGGGGTGTACCCGTACGAGTACAC